CTCTATATGAAACGGTCAGACTACACTGTAGATGTGGTCATCGGTCTCTAACTACAGTAGTTAGGCTTTAGCTATAGTGGTAGAACTCTTATTACAATGGACTGTCTCTAGCAGTATTAGTCGGTCTCTAACTATATTAGTCGGTCTCTAGGTATATTAGTAGGTCTCTAGCTGCATTGGTTGGTCTCTCGCTGTATTAGTCGGTCTCTAGCTGTATTGGTCGGTCTCTAGCTGCATTATTGGTCGGTCTCTAGCTGTATTAGTCGGTCTCTAGCTATATTGGTCGTTCTCTAGCTATATTGGTCGGTCTCCAGCTGTATTGGTCGGTCTCTAGCTGTATTGTTCGGTCTCTAGCTGTATTGGTCGGTCTCTAGCTGTATTGTTCGGTCTCTAGCTGTATTGGTCGGTCTCTAGCTGTATTGGTTGGTCTCTAGCTGTATTGGTTGGTCTCTAGCTGTATAAGTCGGTCTCTAGCTGTATTGGTCGGTCTCTAGCTGTATTAGTCGGTCTCTAGCTGTATTGGTCGGTCTCTAGCTGTATTGGTCGGTCTCTAGCTATATTGGTCGGTCTCTAGCTATATTGGTCGTTCTCTAGCTGTATTGGTCGGTCTCTAGGTATATTGGTCGGTCTCTAGCTGTATTGGTCGGTCTCTAGCTGTATTGGTCGGTCTCTAGCTGTATTGGTCGGTCTCTAGCTGTATTGGTCGTTCTCTAGCTGTATTGGTCGGTCTCTAGCTGTATTAGTCGGTCTCTAGCTGTATTGGTCGGTCTCTAGCTGTATTGGTCGGTCTCTAGCTGTATTGGTCGGTCTCTAGCTGTATTGGTCGGTCTCTAGCTGTATTGTTCGGTCTCTAGCTGTATTGGTCGGTCTCTAGCTGTATTGGTCGGTCTCTAGCTGTATTAGTCGGTCTCTAGCTGTATTGGTCGGTCTCTAGCTATATTGGTCGGTCTCTAGCTGTATTAGTCGGTCTCTAGCTGTATTGGTCGGTCTCTAGCTGTATTGGTCGGTCTCTAGCTGTATTGGTCGGTCTCTAGCTGTATTGGTCGGTCTCTAGCTGTATTGTTCGGTCTCTAGCTGCATTGGTCGGTCTCTAGCTGTATTGGTCGGTCTCTAGCTGTATTGGTCGGTCTCTAGCTGTATTGGTCGGTCTCTAGCTGTATTGGTCGGTCTCTAGCTGTATTGGTCGTTCTCTAGCTGTATTGGTCGGTCTCTAGCTGTATTGGTCGGTCTCCAGCTGTATTGGTCGGTCTCCAGCTGTATTGGTCGTTCTCTCGCTGTATTGGTCGGTCTCCAACCACAGTTGTTAGAGGGAAGGTTGTTTTACCTCAAACTGTAATGGTCGGTCTCTAATTTTAATTGTTAGTCTCTATAATGGTCGATATCTAACTACAGCGGTCGGTCCTTAACTCCAGTAATGGTCTCTAGCTGTAGTCTTCAATATCTATCTCCAGTAATCGGTCTCCTAACTGCAGTGAATGTTGGTTTCAAATTCAACTACGCATGAGACTGGTTTTGTTTGAGGTTGGCTTGTGTAAGACGCGGAGTTCTTGAGTAATACCATAATTATACTTGTATTGGAAATCAGTACACAAAATATCAACTAAGGACAGGTCTTGGCAGTCCATCATGTTGTATACGTACGTACGTATTTTGTATACGTACGTATTTTTGTACGTACGTCATGTTGTATACGTATGTACGAGAAAATACGTACATCGTATTTTGACGTATAACGATACCAGCAACGGTTAATGGTTCGCTGTTTGCGAGGACTAGGACCTCGTAACTACCCGGCATCATACAGTCTGCGAGGACTATATAGGACCTCGTAACTACCCGGCATCATACAGTCTGCGAGGACTAGGACCTCGTAACTAACCAGCATCATACAGTCTGCGAGGACTATATAGGACCTCGTAACTACCCAGCATCATACAGTCTGCGAGGACTAGGACCTCGTAACTAACCAGCATCATACAGTCTGCGAGGACTAGGACCTCGTAACTAACCAGCATCATACAGTCTGCGAGGACTAGGACCTCGTAACTAACCAGCATCATACAGTCTGCGAGGACTAGGACCTCGTAACTACCCGGCATCATACAGTCTGCGAGGACTAGGACCTCGTAACTACCCGGCATCATACAGTCTGCGAGGACTAGGACCTCGTAACTACCCGGCATCATACAGTCTGCGAGGACTAGGACCTCGTAACTACCCGGCGTCATACAGTCTGTGGAAGTTAACCTTCAAAGAGGAGAAAATTGTGCCTTCTAGTCTCACCTTTGAGATAACTGTAGGTCCATGGGATGAAAGAAAGGCGGGAGCTCCCCTGTTAGGCCCTGTTAGGACAGTAAATTAGACTGACGAGCCGCGCTAATGGCACTGTCAGTTTCAGTGCCTCACAGCAGCAAATGTGAACGACTGACGGCAACACTTAGAACGAACATGAGTAGAAATGAACGTCTAACATCGTCGTATTTGTGGCCAATTTTGGACCAATTTGGCAAATTTGGACAGCAACAGAATGTATCAGTTATATTGCTGACACCAACAGATCAGCTATACAGCTGACATCAACAGAATAGATCAGTTACATCGATGACAACAACAGAGTACATCAGTTATTCGGCTGACAACAACAGAAGAGAAAGTTATTCGGCTGACAACAACAGAAGAGAACAGTTATACGGCTGACAACAACAGAAGAGAACAGTTATACGGCTGACAACAACAGAAGAGAACAGTTATATGGCTGACAACAACAGAAGAGAACAGTTATACGGCTGACAACAACAGAAGAGAACAGTTATACGGCTGACAACAACAGAAGAGAGCAGTTATACGGCTGACAACAACAGAAGAGAACAGTTATACGGCTGACAACAACAGAAGAGAACAGTTATATGGCTGACAACAACAGAAGAGAGCAGTTATACGGCTGACAACAACAGAAGAGAACAGTTATACGGCTGACAACAACAGAAGAGAACAGTTATACGGCTGACAACAACAGAAGAGAACAGTTATATGGCTGACAACAGAAGAGAACAGTTATACGGCTGACAACAACAGAAGAGAACAGTTATACGGCTGACAACAACAGAAGAGAACAGTTATACGGCTGACAACAACAGAAGAGAACAGTTATATGGCTGACAACAACAGAAGAGAACAGTTATACGGCTGACAACAACAGAAGAGAACAGTTATACGGCTGACAACAACAGAAGAGAACAGTTATACGGCTGACAACAACAGAAGAGAACAGTTATATGGCTGACAACAGAAGAGAACAGTTATACGGCTGACAACAACAGAAGAGAACAGTTATACGGCTGACAACAACAGAAGAGAACAGTTATACGGCTGACAACAACAGAAGAGAACAGTTATATGGCTGACAACAACAGAAGAGAACAGTTATACGGCTGACAACAACAGAAGAGAACAGTTATACGGCTGACAACAACAGAAGAGAACAGTTATACGGCTGACAACAACAGAAGAGAGCAGTTATACGGCTGACAACAACAGAAGAGAACAGTTATACGGCTGACAACAACAGAAGAGAGCAGTTATACGGCTGACAACAACAGAAGAGAGCAGTTATACGGCTGACAACAACAGAAGAGAACAGTTATACGGCTGACAACAACAGAAGAGAACAGTTATATGGCTGACAACAACAGAAGAGAGCAGTTATACGGCTGACAACAACAGAAGAGAACAGTTATACGGCTGACAACAACAGAAGAGAACAGTTATACGGCTGACAACAACAGAAGAGAACAGTTATATGGCTGACAACAACAGAAGAGAGCAGTTATACGGCTGACAACAACAGAAGAGAACAGTTATACGGCTGACAACATAGATCACTGGTGCACTCAGGTTAAGACAGCCGCTGTATGGGTGACCGCTCGGCCAGCAGGAAGCCATATGAATACTTCCAACATCAACGAAACTGCTGACAACATCAGTAACATCAGCAGTGTTACTGACAACATCAGTAACACTGCTGGCATCAACAAAACTTATAACAACACCATCATAGCAAAAATTGTAAATATTCTTAATACCAGTCAGGTGGTCTAGTCAGGTGGTCTAGTCAGGTGGTCTAGTCAGCTGTGTATAGTCAGCTGATCTAGTCAGCTGATCTAATCGTCTGGTCTAGTCAGCTGGTCTAGTTATTCCACTAGACCACCTGACTAGACTGGTAGTGATGTACCAGCTCTCGGTATAGGTAGTGTTGTACCAGCTCTTGGTATAGGTAGTGTTGTACCAGCTCTTGGTATAGGTAGTGTTGTACCAGCTCTCGGTATAGGTAGTGTTGTACTAGCTCTTGGTATAGGTAGTGTTGTACCAGCTCTTGGTATAGGTAGTGTTGTACCAGCTCTCGGTATAGGTAGTGTTGTACCAGCTCTCGGTATAGGCAGTGTTGTACCAGCTCTCGGTATAGGTAGTGTTGTACCAGCTCTCGGTATAGGTAGTGTTGTACCAGCTCTCGGTATAGGTAGTGTTGTACCAACTCTCGGTATAGGTAGTGTTGTACCAGCTCTCGGTATAGGTAGTGTTGTACCAACTCTCGGTATAGGTAGTGTTGTACCAGCTCTCGGTATAGGTAGTGTTGTACCAGCTCTCGGTATAGGTAGTGTTGTACCAGCTCTCGGTATATCTGGCAACTCTATCACTGAAGTGTTAACTGAGTGACATATCACTGCAGTTTACCCAATAAAAAGTACCCGCAATGAAACTTAACAGTAGCTTTGGTAGACGCATTGAACTCGCGCACGTGTGTGTGTGTGTGTGTGTGTGTGTGTGTGTGTGTGTGTGTGTGTGTGTGTGTGTGTGTGTGTGTGTGTGTGTGTGTGTGTGTGTGTGTGTGTGTGTACTTCACCAGTAAATTAGACCCAAAAGTAGGATAACACACATGTGTATAACTTATCAGTAACTTAGCTGCTAGAGCGACACGTTCAAGTTAAATAAGAGTGACTTACCTTGCCCTTGGCTAGCATAAGCTCAGCCGCGAAGACCTTGCCCCCACATCGCGGACACCCCTCGCCCGCTTCCGCTCGCGGCGGCTTGTAGGGCTTCACATAGTCATTCCTCCTGCACCGAAGACAAGCCCAGAGAGAGAGAGACAGGTTCAGGAGGCGTCAGACTCGTAGTAGTAGGGGTATGGTTGGATGGTGTTCCCACCGGTGAGACGCTCCACACAATACGCCACATTCCCTACACATTCTCCAGTGTTTGTTATGAGGACAACATGAGGATTCCTGAGGATTCACCTTTGTGGCACTCATTTCAGGTGGCTCTATAGAGCGCCTATTGTGTTAATTGTTACCTTTTACACCTTCAAGGTCCCTGAGGCTTTGAGGGCCTCAACCACGGCTTCTCACCTGACTTGTCCTTATGCTTCATCTTATAGTTACTGGCAGCCTCATGATTTCTCTTATTTCTATGATGCCATTTAGTCCTATGAAATGTCATTATTAGTTTGTATTACTTTTACTGCCCAACATAAGTATTCTATTAATTGTGCCATATTTAAAGATGTATACTCTCATTATATATATATATATATATATATATATATATATATATATATATATATATATATATATATATATATATATATATATATATATATATATATATATATATATATATATATATATATATATATATATTATTAAGGCAGAAAGTACCTTTTGTATACAGACTTATTAAGGCAGAAAGTGGCGTTGGTAGTCTTAACTTGTTGTGTGGCTTGTAGGGCTATATCAGGTGCTCATATCATTACATTATTTAACTGTTGTGGCACCGCCTTCTTGAAGGTGGAAATGTAACACTGAATTAAGACGTAGGTCTATACTAAACAGCTAGATAAGACAGGGTACGGTAGGTGCCGGGGGGGCACAGGAAGGGCCAATCCTGCAACAAATTCTTTTTAGGTCAACAAGATCTCTTACGTTTTTTTAGAACAGAGAAAAAACATCTGATTCCATTGTGTACTTTCGTAGCTTTAAGATTCCGGGGCAAATCAGAGGTTAGAGGGCTTTCTCTATTGTTTAGTAAGTGGCAAGTAACCATATATAAGCCACAAGGATAAACATTACATACACCTAGAGGCACCAAGGCAGCTCAAGCTGGCCTGTACTCTGACACTGGACACGTGTATAGTGTTATGGCTGTTACGTTTCCACCTTCTTCAGAGCATTCTCTCTGACAAACTACTGGAGCCAAGCGATGCCCGTTTTGCTTACAAGGAGGAGCATGCACAGATAGATTTGTAGTGGTTGTTAAAATGTTTATTAAGATCTAGGTAGCATCAGTAAGTGTTCCGGAGGTGGGAGTCGAACACTGGCACACATGTTTATCCCCCTGCAGGACAGTCCTGCTTGCCACCCCCTGAGGCTCACCTCGTCACAGAGGCGGCCTCACAACCTGTGGTCTGCTCACAGTTGCACTCAATATGGTGAATGTTGGAAGGAAACCCAAGAATTCATTTCTTTGTAGCGTATATTTCCTATAAAAATATTCCACAGAGGTTACAATAGGAACGTCGACTGAGCGTATAAAAATAGTTAGCACTATAAGCAAAAAAATAAAGCCTTTTAAGCATAGCATAAATAAATATAATAAGCGTAGTGGGTGACTTAAACCCTAAATGAATGCCATTTGTAACTGCTTCTTTACCAAATAGTAAGGCTGAGAGCTGTTTTTGGAGTGTTATAGCCTATTGCTCCCCCTGCGGGGGTCCGCGGGGCGAGGAGAGAGGGAGGCTAGGCTTTATTGGTCATGAGATCAACCGTTGTCTGTCACCCACATTGTTAGTGACTTAGCATGAAGCAACTTATCGTACTCCAAGATGTCTCCCCAAAGAAGGCGCAGCGGTAGACAAGCGACTCTGTGGTGCGTCAGAGCTGGCTGTCAGCAGAGTTGTCAGGTGCTCTGGGCTCCAGCTGCTCAGCTGACGCCAGCTTTACAACAGTTATTAGTGACACGCGTTAGCTTGTGTCAGCTAGGTCTGACATCACCAGAGAGTCATGGTGCCTGTTCGTCAGCACCCTCTTGACAGGAAGTCGTTTCGAACTAAACTGAGCGTAAATAGCGTTTAATAAGAGGCGTAGCAGAGTCCGAAGCCGCGTGTAGCGTAGCGTAGCGTTTAAGCATGAAGCGGGCTGCATAGTCAGGCTTGATAGCTTCAGTTACTGTGTCACAGTAAGCCAATGCACACAATTTTAGGCTCCGAACATTGCGATCCAATAGTTTTTTTCATTGCTGGTGCACTGGTGTTACCATAGCAGTGGAGACGAGAGAGAGAGAGAGAATGAGAGCGTTTAGCAATAGTAAAGAGGAAATCCATCAAACAAATCTGATTCCTCAAAATGACAATTTGAATCGTAATAGTCTCCAAGGCAACAGCATTCATCCCAGGCACTAACTAAGATCCTCGTGTTACCAGTCGGGCTCTACGCTTTTGAATTTTCAAGACTGTATATTGAGGCGTAGGAGGAGCTTTTACTTCTTTCTGTAGGGGAGGAAGGGGAGAGAGCGTGAGTCGCTGGAAGCGTCCTGGAGAGGCAGTATTTTATCAGTGAGGGAAACTTCCCAACTGGTTATCGCAGCTCGGAGGCAGCTACCACAGAGTGTCTTCTCAGTTTTTGTGTATATATATATTTATTTATTTATTTACATTCTTTTTAATGATTTAAGCTGTCTCTTTTGAGTCCGTAAGATTACTTTTAACACTGGTGAAGACTACTTGTGATCGAATATATATCTATATATATATCGCCATGTGTACTCCATGCAGCAGTGTACACTTAGTGTGTACTACATGTACCAGTGTACATCCAGTGTGTACTCCAGGTAGCGATTACCGGAACGTGACTTAACCAATTGAGAAGTTTCGTCTTACAGGTATAAATAACCTTGATGATTGTTAACAAAAAGCAAGAGAAGGCCCTCTATCCTCTGACTGAGAGGGAATAAAATAACCAATTAAAGACGGAATCGATAATAAAAATAATAAGAATAATGTGAAGAATGAGTAGCTATTTTCTCAGAAAGGAAAAAACATGTGGTCAGATTAGAAATTGTATAACATATGACAATTTTTTGCAGGTTAGGCTTCCATCTTCATGATTATGGAAACGGTCAGACAAATCGTTCACATTTTCAGTAGGGACATTAACATAAACACAAGCTCGATGTGAAGGAACAAATATAAATAAAATAAATAAAAATGAACTTGAAAATTTTGCAATAAAGGTGTTAGTATAATGAAGAATGTAGATGATGATGATGTGTTTTAACCGACCAGTTTTGTCACAGCGGGAACACATTCACTAATTTTTAGGTGACTCATTTTGAAGTCTAGGTGACATTGGTTTAGTTTTATTTAATTAATTGGGGCATTTTTTTCCATATAAGTCCTTCGCATAACATAACTGATATTGGAGGATAACTCTCTAGAATGATTCAGAAAAATATATTATAATTACTAATACTTCACGATTTGCTACCCATAACTACACCTTCCTGGGAGTTGATCCTAACTGCAGCTTCCTAGGAGTGCTCCTAACACCTTCCTAACTACATCTCCCTAGGAGTTGTTCCTAACTACACCTCCCTAGGAGTTGGTCCTAACTACATCTTCCTAGGAGTTGGTACTCTCAATAAGCCGTTCTCACCTCATGCCCGGCAGTGTGAATGATACAGTCCTAGCGTCTAAATACATGTGCTTTCGTGAATTTAAAGCACCAAGGGAACTATCAGGGGGAACTCGCCAAGCCATTACGACTATATAGCACTGGGAAGGGGTCAGGATAAGGATATGGGATGGGACGGGGGGGGGGGGGGAAGGAATGGTGCCCAACCACTTGGACGGTCGGGGACTGAACGCCGACCTGCTGAAAGCGAGACCGTCACTACCGTCCAGCCCAAGTGGTTGGGATTTAAAGCACCATAACTTGCACGAAAAGAAAGCCTGAATAATAGACTCGGCGCTTTTGTAAGTTAGGTGGTTGCCTAAGCTGGTACGCTACTGGTTATACTAAACAACTTCACATCATACGCCAATGAGAACGGCCTGCTCTCTTTAAACTAGCACCCGTGGCCATTTTAATATTACTAATAACAGTACTGTATTTGAATTCTTCAACAAACTGGCGTTTGCGAACACAGAACTAACTGTGCACCCAAACATGAGCATTGAGCTCTGGAGCTAACTGTGCACTCAACACATTTATGGTTAATGAACCGTGAAATTTGATGAAATAAATCATTACACCCAATGAGGAAAAAGAGGTGCCCTTGACGGAGGTGACTGCCCAGCCCCGTGTCTACAGGCACGAGCTACACGGGGAGCAGGACCCAACCTCCCGCCCTTGGGGATGGGGTCGTGGGCGCCCTTGCGGGTCGTGGGCTCTGAGCAGCGAGGCTCCACTAATGGTACCAATGGTGAGGAACGTGATGGGGAAGGAACACTTACTCCTCGAGGTGTGAGCCGGTGTCCATGCTGAGGCCAGCAGCGCCACCGCCGAAGCCGTAGCCCTTGGGACCAAACTTGCGGCCGTGGCAGGTCTTGCAGTAGAGCACATTCTCGTGCAGGTTGGAGTTGGTAGAATCCAGCATCTTATTGCACATACCTGGGGGTAGGTTGCACAGGTATTACATTAGTTGCGTTGGACACCTACGTAACATAAGCTTATTATTATATTTGAGGAAAATTTAATAGAATCTAAAGTATGTAATTATAAAAGGAAAGCGTGGAACCTGGGTAACTATTTAGCACCTTCACGCTGCGCTCGTCATAGACGAAATTTGAGTAATGCTTAATGTAATTTACTTGTTATATAAAATGGCTGTTTATGTCTTGAAGGAATTGAAACCAAGCCTACATTTGTGTTGGCCAAAACGCCTATCAACCGTGTGGGATTTAATGCAACCATTACAACAGCTTACTGAATAACCATGAATTAGATAACAGTCCTGAGTGCAAACATTACAGTAAATAATCTGTGTATGTACGCCGACGTACAAATAGCACTCTTTGTTGGGTGTCCACATTTGCGATAGTAAGGTGTCAGTGTAGAAAATGAAAAGTACTGATGACTTACTGCACTTGTAGCATTCCTTGTGGAAGGACACGTCGCCCACCACCCGCGCCTCGGCGTGGTATACAGACTTCTCGCACTTGGGGCATTTTGGGGTGGATGGAGGCTTGAATGGCATGTCTGCGGCGGTGGTCGGCCTGGGGAGAGAAATGTCTTAAGTATATGAGCCTCTCACTCTGTAGTACGTGTGTGTGTGTAATGTGAATGGATTTCACAACCTGAAACTGAGCACTGAAGTTTAGAGCAGTAAGAGATTTGAATTGGAGTTCATGTGATGACCCCAGTTCATATTTTGCTAGTGCTCGAGATTAAAAATTTATAAATTTTGCTGTTAGTGTAAAGTTCATTATCATAGATAAAAGCGACGGGTGCTCGCTGAGTAATGGGTATTACATATCAGGTAAAATATTCAATTTAAAGAATTGTACGTTTACTGTGAAAGTTCTTAGAGTTCACCGGCTGTTGTACCCAGTGTGTGTGTACTCACCTAGGTGTGCTTACGGGGGTTGAGCGCTGGCTCTTTGGTCCCGCCTCTCAACTGTCAATCAACTGGTGTACAGGTTCCTGAGCCTATTGGGCTCTATCATATCTACACTTGAAACTGTGTATGGAGTCAGCCTCCACCACATCACTGCTTAATGCATTCCACCTGTAACTACTCTGACACTGACAAAGTTCTTTCTAACGGCCCTGTGGCTCATTTGGGTACTCAGTTTCCACATGTGTCCCCTTGTTTGCGTACCACCAGTGTTAGACAATTTTGTTTATCTACCCTGTCAATTCCTCTTAGAATTTTATAGGTGGTGATCATGTCTAACCGAGCTCTCCTATCTTCCAGCGACGTGAGGTGCATTTCACGCAGCCTTTCTTCGTAACTCAAGCCTCTTAGTTCTGGGACTAGCCTAGTGTCTTACCTCTGAACTTTTTCCAGCTTAGTCCTGTGTGTGTGTGAATTCACAGGGGTAAGAATGTATCACCTTGGAATTAAAGATCAATGTTGCAAATAACTTTGGAAATAATGATCAATGGGCATGAGGGCCTACAACCGTTGAGTTCACCAACGTTCACTCGATTTGCTCATTAATTAATTTTAGAAAGATATTCTGTGTTCGTGGCTATGTTATGATGCTGGGCATAAGGCCTGTCAACCACGAGAGGTTTAAGGCCGCCACAATAGTTTTACTTAGCAACCAAAAACAACACTTTTGTGTTAAACGTAGTCAAAGACTTAAGTAAACTTTCAGTGTATATACACCTAGAAGTGGGGTATTCTTCAAGGTGTATGTACAGCCTGATGTATATATGAAGAGCAAAGGTGTATTTGCAGGTACAAATGTGACACTACTATGTATGTGCACAGTTATATCAAATAATGATGTATTTCATAAACAAATATCTTAATTAGTATCTCAGAGAGGCGAATGAATTGTCAAATTAACTACAGCACCCATATACCTGGCTCTCTCTACCGCTTCAGTATAATAAACCGGAAAATCAGATAAACGAATATAAAAGTATGTTTGACATGAAAACCTACAGCTAGCCCTGTGTTGATAGTTGCATTATTTTAATTGCGAGTTTGTTTAAAGATTAAAGAAAGAATGTAGTTGAGACAGCGAGAGGTAAGGAATACCGGAGCAGGAGCAGCCGGCACCTCCATTCGCCAACCAAGCTACAAGCTAATTTTGGCTCGTAGTGCCACCGCTATTTCTGGATGAGTCGAGTGCCAGCTCCGGGCCCGCTGTCCGGCAGCACCCTCTCTGGCACCCTTCCTAACAACCTGAACCCTTACTAACGTCGAAAATTACACTGTGGTAACAACGAACTGACTCCGACCTGCTATACCTTCTGATCGCGCTCTGAAACCTCACTACTGTGTATGTCATCAGTGATCACAGTTCATGTGCCTAGTTACCGGTACAGTGTACACCGCCACACCCGCTTGTATACGTATTTTCACTGTACCGGTGTATAAAGGTTTTTGTTTTTGTAGGCTTGCTGTACCATCGCACTTCATGATAGAGGCAGAGTACCATTGTACCTCGCGATACAGGGACTTAAGACGGCACAGCTCTTAAGACGGTGCAGATGGACATAGTGTAGCTTTATGCAGCAGTGAAGAAGTAGGTACAGCGTACCATTTCAGCCTTTGCAGAGTTGGAGTGTGTACCTTAATTATGTACAGGTAGGCGTAGCGTACAACACTTTGGTACAGATGGGTACGTTATGCCCGTAGAGCCGTGGTACAATTGAGTCACAGTTCACCACAGTGGTACAGGAAAGTATCGTGGTATCTTCGTTATCTCCTGAGATCAGGTGAAATACAATATTACCACCATTTTCAGAAATATTAAAACACCACCATCTCTCTATCCCTTACTGAAGCTGCAGTCTACAAACTTCTCCACCAGCCAATTACAAGCCAGGATGTAATTACAAGCCTAATGAGGCACGTGGGTATTATAATACCCTCAGTATGGAGTGGCGGAGGTGGAGTGGGGTGGGGGGAAGATACGGTGGACGCTCCTTCGTGACCCCTTGAGCCTGACTGACGCTCAGGATGGGGTTGACGAGGTGCCTCTTGGGTCGGGGTCGGCATGGGTGAGGTTCTCCGTGTGATTAACAACACACAACCGGCCTCTTGCCACCTTCCCTACCTTGGTAAAGAATAATAGTTGAAGATCCTCCCTGGAAAAGTGTCCAATTCAACGTATTCAGAACGCTGACATTAGGGCTCTAGCAATACACACAAACGTGTGTATGTGACTTTACACACATATAGACATTAGAACTTTAAAATAAATGCACTGTGGTGTATTTTCTTCTGATAAAAGAAATGAATCTAATTGAGCATCAGTAAAATCGGACTCAAACTGAACTTCGATCTCACTGGCAGTTAACAGCTTTGTTAAGTTTTGGTCAGACCCTATTGCTCAGGAACTGTCAGACTTCGCTGCTCAGGAACTGTCAGACTTCGCTGCTCAGGAACTGTCAGACTTCGCTGCTCAGGAACTGTCAGACTTCGCTGCTCAGGAACTGTCAGACCTCGCTGCTCAGGACCTGACAGACCATGTTGCTCAGGGCCTGACAGACCATGCTGCTCAGGGCCTGACAGACCATGCTGCTCAGGGCCTGACAGACCATGCTGCTCAGGGCCTGACAGACCATGCTGCTCTGGAACTGACAGACCATGCTGCTCAGGAACTGACAGACCATGCTGTTCAGGGCCTGACAGACCATGCTGTTCAGGGCCTGACAGACCATGCTGTTCAGGGCCTGACAGACCATGCTGCTCAGGAACTGACAGACTATGCTGCTCTGGACCTGTCAGACTCTATTGCTCAGGGCCTGTCAGACCTCGCTGCTCCAGGCCTGTCAGACCTCGCTGTTCAGGGCCTGTCAGACCTCGCTGCTCAGGGCCTGTCAGACCTCGCTGCTCAGGGCCTGTCAGACCTCGCTGCTCAGGGCCTGTCAGACCTCGCTGCTCAGGGCCTGTCAGACCTCGCTGCTCAGGGCCTGTCAGACCTCGCTGCTCAGGGCCTGTCAGACCTCGCTGCTCAGGGCCTGACCCACACACAACTCGAGCAAACTTCCGTACAAGTCCTGACCTTCGGTGGGGGAGTTGCTTACGAATTAAAATTTTGGGGCTAAAGTTCCTGAAGAAGACACGGGGATGGCCCTGGGTGCCAGGAGGTGCCTCTTGAGGGCCTAGGGATGCAGGTGCTGCTGGACCATTGGTACCTGTCACTCAAACACAGCACCTGCCTGCTGCGGTACACAGCTGTGTCTCCTGTGATGAAGGGGGTGTTCTCATCGGACACAACACAGCGCGCCACCTGTGTCCTGAGTGGCCCCTCACCCGAACGACACCACCACCAGGGCTTAGGTGGCCGCTAAACAGCACCAGCGACGCGTGTACAAGCCTCGGGTACTACTGCCTACACCGCCGCAAGTTGAGTGCGATACACTGGACAAAGATGTAAGCCTGGTGAAGCACAAGTGTAAGTGTCTTGGGGTATACCAGACAGGCCCCCACACACCCCCCCTACCTTCACACGGGTAACACTACAGGCTCGCTAGCTAGCTGCTGCTTCCTCCTCGGATGGACACTGCCTCTCGACTCCTCGCCTTATTACGATTGAGGACCAAGTCAGCCCCGCCGCAGGTTTTCTTGGGGGAGCCGCCCCCTTCCCTGCGGCCATTGCCAAGAATACCCTCTGCACACGGCACGCCGGGACCCAGCTGGGGCCGTGTGCAGCGATGGGAGGAGGAACTTGACGGTAGTTTGTAGTGGGCGTCAACCTGATCGTCTCTGCTGTTGTTGCTGCCGTTTCTGGTAATACTACTCCTGCTGCTGCTGCTGCTGCTGCTGATGCACCTGCTGCTGCTGCTGATGCTGATGCTCCTGCTGCTGCTGCTGATGCTGATGCTCCTGCTGCTGCTGCTGCTGCTGATGCTCCTGCTGCTGATGCTGCTCCTGCTGCTTTTGCTCCATTTCTTGCTGTTTCTGGTCTCTTAATATTTCTGAAACGATTGTTTTCTTGTTGCATTTCTTGTATCTTCCTTCTCATGCTGTTGTTACTTAATCAGCTCCTTTAACAGGGCCAGTTGCTCCTCTTTTTTTTCAGCTGTTCCTACTTCACAAGTTTTTCCTAATACCACTTTCTACTGTTGCTCCTGCTAGACACCTGCTAGATGTGCTCCTGCAACTTTTGTTCCTGCTACACACCTGCTACCGTTGATCCTTCTACACACCTGCTAATGTTGCTCCTGCTAAACACCTGCTACTGTTGATTCTGCTACACACCTGCTACTGAGGACCCTGTTACTGCTGCTACTGTTGCTCCTGCTAGACACCTGCTAGATGTGCTCCTGCAACTTTTGTTCCTGCTACACACCTGCTACTGTTGATCCTTCTACACACCTGCTAATGTTGCTCCTGCTAAACACCTGCTACTGTTGATTCTGCTACACACCTGCTACTGAGGACCCTGTTACTGCTGCTACTGTTGATCCTGCTACACACCTGCTACTGTTCTTCCTGCTACACACCTGTTACTGTTGACCCTGCTACACACCTGCTACCGTTGCTTATCCTATACACCTCTACTGTTGATCCTACTACACACCTGCTAGAGTTGCTCTTGCTACACACCTGCTACTGTTGTTCCTGCCACATGCCTGCTACTGTTGCGCCTGGTACACATCTGCAAGAAGTGCTCCTGCTACACACCTGCTACATTTGCTCGTGCTACACACCTGTTACCTTCTAGAGTTGCTCCTGCTACACACCTGCTACTGTTGCTCCTGCTACACACTTGCTACTGTTGCTCCTGCTACACACCTGCTACTGTTGCTTGCTACACACCTGCTACTGTTGCTCCTGCTACCCACCTGCTACTGTTGCTCCTGTTACACACCTGCTAGAGTTGCTCCTGCTAAATACTTGCTGGATGTTACCCCTGCTACACCTGCTATTATTCATCCTGCTACACACCTGCTACTGTTGTTCCTGTTGATCCTGCTACACACCTGCTAGAGTTGCTCCTGCTAAATACTTGCTGGATGTTACCCCTGCTACACCTGCTATTTTTCATCCTGCTACACACCTACTACGGTTGCTCCTGCTTCACACCTGCTACTGTTGATCCTACTACACATCTGCTAGAGTTGCTCCTGCTATACACCTGCTAGAGTTGCTCCTGCTACACACCTGCTATGGTTACTCCTGCTAAACACCTGCTAGAGTTGCTCCTGCTACACACCTGCTATGGTTGCTCCTGCTAAACACCTGCTAGAGTTGCTCCTGCTACTGTTGCTCTTGCTACACACCTACTAGAGTTTCTCTTGCTGCATACCTGGTACTGTTGCTTCTGCTACACACCCGTTATGGCTGCTCCTGCTACACACCTGCTAGATGTTACCCCTGCTACACCTGTTATTCATCCTGCTACACACCAAGCTGTTTCTTCTGCTACACACCTGCTACTGTTACTCCTGCTACACACCTGCTTCTGTTGTTTTTGTTTGATCTGTTGCTTCAGTTATCTCACCCGCTGATTTAGTCCTGTTTCCCATGACTTGGCGCCTCATATCTCCTCCTCCTCGCCCCTCATATCTCCCCTCCTCGCCCCTCATATCTCCCCTCCTCGCCCCTCATATCTACACTCCTCGCCCCTCATATCTCCTCCACCTCGCCCCTCATGTCTCCCCTCCTCGCCCCTCATATCTACCCTCCTCGCCCCTCATATCTCCTCCACCTCGCCCCTCATGTCTCCCCTCCTCGCCCCTCATATCTACCCTCCTCGCCCCTCATATCTCCTCCACCTCGCCCCTCATATCTCCCCTCCTCGCCCCTCATATCTCCCCTCCTCGCCCCTCATATCTCCTCGCCCCTCATATCTCCTCCTCGCTTCTCATATCTCCCCTCCTCGCCCCTCATATCTCCCCTCCTCGCCCCTCATATCTCCTCCACCTCGCCCGTCATATCTCCCCTCCTCGCCCCTCATATCTACCCTCCTCGCCCCTCATATCTCCTCCTCGCCCCTTATATCTACCCTCCTCGCCCCTCATATCTCCCCTCCTCGCCCCTCATATCTCCTCCACCTCGCCCGTCATATCTCCCCTCCTCGCCCCTCATATCTACCCTCCTCGCCCCTCATATCTCCCCTCCTCGCCCCTCATATCTCCTCCTCCTCGCCCCTCATATCTCCTCCTCGCCCCTCATATCTCCTTCTCGCCCCTCATATCTCCCCTCCTCGCCCCTCATATCTCCCCTCCTCGCCCCTCATATCTCACCTCCTCGCCCCTCATATCTCCCCTCCTCGCCCCTCATATCTCCCCTCCTCGCCCCTCATATCTCCTCCTCGCCCCTCATATCTCCTCCTCGCCCCTCATATCTCCCCTCCTCGCCCCTCCTATCTCCTCCTCCTCGCCCCTCATATCTTCCCTCCTCGCCCCTCATATCTCCTCCTCGCCCCTCATATCTCCCCTCCTCGCCCCTCATATCTCCTCCTCGCCCCTCATATCTCCTCCTCGCCCCTCATATCTCCTCGCCCCTCATATCTCCCCTCCTCGCCCCTCATATCTCCCCTCCTCGCCCCTCATATCTCCACTCCTCGCCCCTCATATCTCCTCCTCGCCCCTCATATCTCCCCTCCTCGCCCCTCATATCTCCCCTCCTCGCCCCTCATATCTCCCCTCCTTGCCCCTCATATCCCCTCCTTGCCCCTCATATCTCCACCTCGCCCCTCTTCTCCCCTCCTCGTCCCTCACATCTCCCCCCTCGCCCCTCACATCTCCCCTCCTCGCCCCTCACATCTCCCCTCCTCGCCCCTCACATCTCCCCCCCCGCCCCTCACATCTCCCCTCCTCGTCCCTCACATCTCCCCCCTCGCCCCTCACATCTCCCCTCCTCGTCCCTCACATCTCCCCCCTCGCCCCTCACATCTCCCCTCCTCGTCCCTCACATCTCCCCCCTCGCCCCTCACATCTCCCCTCCTCGTCCCTCACATCTCCTCCCTCGCCCCTCACATCTCCCCCCTCGTCCCTCACATCTCCCCTCCTCGCCCCTCATATCTCCCCCCTCGCCACTCACATCTCCCCTCCTCGCCCCTCACATCTCCCCTCCTCGCCCCTCACATCTCCCCCCTCGCCACTCCGCCCACAGATAATATCACACCATAATAGGTACTGGCTGTGAGAGACATTATTCTCCAGTATAGGGCCGGCGTCCCCGATTAGCTTGGAGCGGTATACATAGATGCTTCAGATACACGCTCCTGCTGCCTCTGTATCTGTACACGCTCCTGCTGCCTCTGTATCTGTACACGCTCCTGCTGCCTCTGTATGTATACACGCTCCTGCTGCCTCTGTGTCTGTACACGCTCCTGCTGCCTCTGTATGTATACACGCTCCTGCTGCCTCTGTATCTGTACACGCTCCTGCTGCCTCTGTATCTGTACACGCTCCTGCTGCCTCTGTATGTATACACGCTCCTGCTGCCTCTGTGTCTGTACACGCTCCTGCTGCCTCTGTATGTATACACGCTCCTGCTGCCTCTGTATCTGTACACGCTCCTGCTGCCTCTGTATCTGTACACGCTCCTGCTGCCTCTGTATGTATACACGCTCCTGCTGCCTCTGTGTCTGTACACGCTCCTGCTGCCTCTGTATGTATACACGCTCCTGCTGCCTCTGTATCTGTACACGCTCCTGCTGCCTCTGTATCTGTACACGCTCCTGCTGCCTCTGTATCTGTACACGCTCCTGCTGCCTCTGTATGTATACACGCTCCTGCTGCCTCTGTGTCTGTACACGCTCCTGCTGCCTCTGTGTCTATACACGCTCCTGCTGCCTCTGTATGTATACACGCTCCTGCTGCCTCTGTGTCTGTACACGCTCCTGCTGCCTCTCCGTGCTGCTATAGAGTATGGTGGAGCGGGTAATATCCTCACAATAAGAGACAGTGTGGGTGAAGGCATCGTGCGGCTCTCAGCTCTGGGGTCCCGACCCAAGTGGTGTTGTACCTCAGCTGCTAACTCAACCACCTCCAACCTTTCAACAACGTTGTTACAGTATTGTGAGGAAACAATACAGTGTTCTCTACGTTCTGTGTTTGCTAAGATGCACTTTCTCTACTAGATAATTAACCACTGTAGCACATTCCTGGGTATTTTTTTAGCAGTAAAATTATTATTGTTATTATTATTATTATTGTTTAATGCTCGTTCGTATCCTGGCCTGGGAAGATTGACTGAGCGCCAATCCTTAACTAAAGCCCCTGTTCACCTTAGCAGTGATTGGGCACCTGGTTGTTAAACGATTTGACGGGTCGTTTTCCGGGGAAAATTAGGACTAAGGATTTGCCGGATATATATATATATATATATATATATATATATATATATATATATATATATATATATATATATATATATATATATATATATATATATATATATAGTTGGGCAGTCAAGTCAGAAGGAGATTGTTGTCCTGTACAACACTAACCATCACTCATACATTTTGCCCAACATAGACAGACAGATTTAGAGATGTATTCTCATACATGAGTACAGTGGGTTATTGAGCACTGAGCCACTGTTAACTCAAGCGCTGGGTACCGCTCCCTCATTCTCTCCTCATATCCCAGGTCTTGGACTGGCCTCATGTCCCTCACAAGAGTTACATCGCCACTCCAGCTTAG